CCCCAAATCTCCCAAGCTGACAACGCTGCTAAACTAGCACTTTTATTGACAAGCACCCCAGCTACTTTGAAGAAGAGTCATGGGCTTCCTAACATGCTACTTGCCTTTCCTTGTGGGTGCTTCCTCTGAACGTTTGGGCTACTTGGTTCAATTACAACTTACTCTTCTGTAGGCCACGGACAAGCACAGATGAAGTGAGATGCCCTTTTGAAAACATTCAGTTGGGAACGGTCAAGTAGCAGCAGAGACTGCTGCCTCTGGCTGCTTTTTGAATGTATTAATTTTGTTTCAAATAAGTCACACAAGGTCAAAAAGAGAAATAAAGATAGCAGGTGTGTTAACACAATCATGAGCAATTGGGTTGGTGCATCTCACAATGCTACTGCCCGCCAGTGGAATGCAGTGGCAGTTTTTGACCATTTAGACCATTAAAACACACTTGTAGCCATAGGCGGTATTTGAGATACAAGTGGCTGAAAAATTTGTCGATTTTCATGACCATTTTCTCTTACGAGCCAAAACAGACTAGAATTCATTTTCTGGAGAATTTATATCAGAAAGCATCTAACATATGTTCAGTTCAGAGGATGAAGACAATCATGCTTTGCTTAGACCTACAGCTCTAATGGCACATTATGCCTGGGATCCTATTGTTAGTTTCTCTTAGATCAAAACTGTCCAGTAAATATTTCTCTGGAACGAACATACTTGAAAATGACACTCAAATATTAATCCCCAGGAAAACTCAAATGAGCATAACTTAATTTCCTCTCCTAAAATGAACATTTATTTGAAGGTTTTAATCCAGAACTGCAAATGTTGAAGCTGTGTAACTAAATACACTTCACTTCTAATGCAATTTCATGCACTTTAATGACACTACAGTATAACACAGCTTAATGCAATCTTAATGCTTCAGTGTTTCATCATCTTAACACAGTGTCCTGAACTGAGACCAAATGTGATACCACAAAATAAGCATGCAAATGGAACACCAACTCTTGTTGCTTTAGAAATGCGAAGGAAAAACTTTATTCCTTCTTTATTTTTTAATATAGTGTATTCTGCTAAATCTTTACTTCGAAGTTCTTTGAAACATATCCAACACTTCTACATAATTAGGTAAATTAGTTCCATCACCTTCCAAAACGAAATGATGCTGTCTATGTCCTTGTCTTTTCAATTAAGACAAGGAAGCAGGGAGGAGGCTGACATTCTGCTTTGCCATTGGTATTTACACTGTCTTCATACGAGTGAGACCCATTGCAAAACAATCCCCTATGGAGGTGCAACAGAGAGGACCTTCTACGATCACCTGTCATGAATGGTCTTACACAACGCGAAAGTAAGAATAAGTGGATATGCTATTCTGGAGAACACAAGTCTTTGGCAGAAATGGAGACCCAACAATGGTATAACCTCCCCTGATTATGTCGGCATCATCAAGATGAGCCGAGGACGGCAATGATTCTTTAAGAGCTTGGCTGTACAAATCTTTGGTGTTGAATTAAAGTCCGTTAAAGTGAACACACAGCAAAAACCCTCCAGGACAGACCAGACCAGGAGAAATCTTTACTCACCAGGAAATGGTGAACAAGGTCTGTGGAAACTGTGAGGTCTGCCCAAGCTCTCTTCTTTCTCTTACTTAATGGTTCATATTTCAGTACAGCTTATAAATACTGCTCTTGAACTTGAACCCCCATCTGCTCTATGATGTACAAATACAAAACATGTTCCTTCTGTGGCTCAGAATATGCATCAAAACTGCAGAAAGTCTTGCTCCCATACTAATCCCTCTGCTTTCAGATTGCTGTGAGAAATGACACAGGTTTAGATGCACCTGCACTCTGTGCCAGGATGACCATTCTTACATTTGTATAAAGCTGACTGCTGCCATAAAGCAACTAAGAGGCCTCCAAAGAAGTTCCTGTACTCTGAACTTGACTTACCTCATGCTTGTCTGGAGCAATGAAATTTAGCTGGCCACTCGAGTCATACAGTATAGAGAAAGCAAGTTCTAGCACCTCCTGGAATACAAAGAAATGTATATTAATGCTGCAGGAAAGAGGCATTAATACATTCAGATCTGTTTTTCTTTCCTACCACTTGTTCCCCAAAACAAGTGGAAAAACAGGTTATAGTATTCTCCTGCCTGGCCAAAGCTGCAGCAGTACCAGACCATTGCAACAGACTGGCACAGCAAGAACCCCACCACAGATGCTTCAGTCAAAGCAAACTCACCCCTTCAATGCTGTCTGGATCTTACTCAGTCATGGATTACTTTAGCATCTGAGTTTTGATGTGAGCTATGCAATGGCAAGGACTAAAATCAATATAACCCATCATAGTATACTTGCAACAAACTCTTCATGAAGATCCATAATTTTTTCAACTGGTATAGATTAAGCATGCAAAGTTCTGCAAGGGTTGATTCCCTGTGTCAAAAATCTTGCCAGGACAGTTAATCTCCTGGTAAACGCTTATGCTCTTTTCACTGCTGGAAATCTATTAAATTATTCATTCTCAGGAGATCTCTGTCATTTTGTCTCTACGAATCAGCAGCCTCAGTCAAACTGAACTACACCTGGGTTACTTCATCATAAAGTCCCAAACGAACCTTGGGAAAGGAAAAAATTATTTTCTTTTTTCTCCTCAGCATTGAAGCTGGAATTTCAAAGGTGCCAAAGTCAATTCATTAAGCATTGACCTTCCCTAAAAGTCACCTGGACCTGGGTTCTTATGGGAAAACCCAACCAATCTGAATAATGAACTTTCACTGACCAGCAGGGAGCACGTGAAGATGTTGTGTTTTCATGGTTACCGCACACATTGCTACAAGCACCGTTACAAGGACTTCACAACCTGTAGGCTAGCTGATATGGATACAACAACTCTGTGGAAAAAAGACTCGGCTACAGAGGAGAGTGCTGACTTGTAACTACTTTGATCTATATCATCTGTCCTGTTCTTTTCACCTCTTGGCTTCCTGAGCCCCATAATACTGATTGCCTTTGCTGACTCTCAGCTGACAAAGGCCCCTACGCTGCCAGCAGCGACAAGAGCACGGCTTCTTAGATTTGCTACACTAAGTTTTAAAATGGAAGAACTGACTGCGGGGACTGCAGCAGATACATTGCTCTAGATTTCTACTCCTGATCTCCTGGTCTGAAACAGAGGTAGGTCTCTGGATTTCAGTAAGGGTTATTTCACTTTTGAACTTGTGTGATTAAGAGCAGGGTCTGATTTGCAAAACTTGGAATCCTTACAGATAATCTTGGATGATCAGAGATCTGGCTTCTCCTAGGAAATGCTCTTGGTTTCCTTGAGTTTAGTTATTAGACCCAACTCGCTGTATTGCCAGGCCACAGGAGACAATCTGTGTTAAATCCCCATGGAAGCTGCAGATCCTAACAGTGCTGGCGCACTCGGCAAACAAACGGCTCACGGCTCCCATAGCCCTTTTTGCGTTTTAGGCATGTCTCTCAGCCACACCTTATTAAAAATGATATCCCGCATTACAGAAAAGAATTTATCTCTGCCCACACAAACCTGGCATTATCTCATCACAGAGTGTTATAAATTACTGACAGAACATGCCAAGTCATGCAACTGAGATTGTGAAATAAAATGTATCATTGCAAAAAGGGCTTGTACTGCTCTACTATGATGTTCCTGAATTTCCTGAAGGTCAACAACAATCCCATAGGCCTGGACCCTGAAAATTTGTCCTTTGGGAAATTCTTAGGGATTGAAGTTTTCGTTTGTCTCAAAGAAAGCAAAAGAAGAGAAAATTCCTCCCTGAAAGAGGAATATCCCAGGCAGCCGTGGGCTGGGTCATTCCCAGTCAGGCAGAGAATGAGAAGAGCTAAATTTAGGGCTCCAAGCTTCCCTTTATGGGGGAAAGTGGGAGTTTGGCAGCCCTGGCTCCAGTGTGGCTTCTTCGCTGGCTGCTCCAGAGACTAAAGGCTCAGGAATTACAGCCTCCAGGGGCCAGTGTCTCTGTCATCTTACGCACATCAAACTGCCAAAGAAAATGGAAGCCTAAGGAGCTGGAGTGGCCAACTGGTCCTCCACACAGACAGCAGTCCCAGTGGCTGAGCTGGCTGACATGTCAGGCACCCCCACCCAGTTTTGCTACGCTCCAATCAATTGAGGAACTGGCAATCCCTAAATGAAAACTGGTCAGTCTCTGCCAGCCATCTGTGGTTTTCTCCTCCCCTGTCTGTCCTTCTCAACCTTTCTCAAAGTCATTTTCCACTCCAGCCTTTTCCACCGGTTTCTCTTTCTCTCTGGTCTTTTTCCTCTCCCCTTCCTTCCACCCTGCTCCTTCGCTCTTTGTTTTTCTTTCCTCCTCCCCCACCTCAATCTGCCCAACTCACTCCCTCGACACTCCCAACTCTTTCTGCCCTGGCACATTTCAGACCTCTGCCCTTCCCCAGATGCTTGTCAATGGCCACAGCACCGGAACCCGCCGCGTGCTTCTGTTTTGAGCCTCACTGGGAATGGGGAACAGGAGACTGCATCTGCCAGCTGGACACTTCCTACGCCTTGGTTTCAGCTCTGCGGGGAAAGCTGTTGCAGGTGGTACAAGGGGAACCTTGCAGACTCTCCCCTGTAGCTGGAATGACCTCAGTACTCACTGCCTGCTCTGTCACCAATGGCCTCAAAACCACCACATCTTTGCTGAAGGCTGAGACCACAGCTGTGCTAAGTTTGCTTGCCAGAGCCAGAAGATCCCCCCCTAGAGAACTGTCTACACATGCAGAGGCAGGGAACTTGTTCAGCCAACATGAAGTAAAAGAGAAGCGGCACTCAACAGGGAAGTGAGCAGAACCATTTCTGCTGACTAAAAAGGCACCAAGCCTGAAGCCTGCCACATCAGCAAACAACGGGTGATAGAAGAACACTCAGAAATACATGACAATTTTTTTTCCAAATTCTTCTCTCGTGCTTTGTTTTGAAGGCTGCAAAATCTAATTTATTTCATTGCCTTGAAATTCGTTAATACTACTCGAGAGTCAGAAATGAGGACTTTAAAATTAAACCTAATTTAAAAACACAAGCAAGGTGATGGATTCATCAGTGGATTCAGGTCTGGTCCTATCAAGTCGTTCCAGCTTCATATGCATGCAAATTCCAATTCAGTTTAACTTCTATTTATTTCTAAATGGCCCTGCTGGAAGAATAACGGCCATGTGCCGGCAAATGAAGAGACGCTGAAGCCTTTGTTATGGACGTTCTGCCAATTCCAGCTATGTTCATAGCAGTGGCATTCTGCCATTTAATTTTCTGTTCTGTAATGAATAAACATTAAGGTGGTTGTCATCTATGTACAAAGAAAGCACAGGATGAAAAGGCCTCTTAAAAAATAGATCACTGATTCTGAAATTTGAGGAAGTGAAAGGTTTCATACACGAAACTCAGCCAGACTGCATTCTGTGTCTGGCGCTTTGTATTTTCTTTTTTTTTAATTTTAACAACGATGTGTTATTCCTATGATGTCAGCTGGGCAGCTGCAATATTGCACATGGCAATTTGATTGGGATGACAACTAATTTCACAAACTCTGTGATTCCCAGGGAAAGAAAAAAGGAATTGAGGAAAAAAATAATTAAAAACCCCCAACAGCAAAACACCACACCAGAAGTAGTAAAACCATAAAAATTATTATTGCCTGGGTCACAAATGGAATACTCCAACCACAGATGCAGCCACGCCACCTACCAACTCCTGATCTTCACTCTCAGCTAGCAACTTTATGCCAGTCCAAAGCAATTTTACGCGAGAAAATGGAGCGATGCTGATACCTGAGGACAAACCGATCTGCAGCACTGCCATCTAGCATTAAATACTATCTAGACATTACTGCTCCATAAAGATGACACACTTCCATCACTGCCACCCACTGCTTTCCTTCTTCTCATCTTTCCTTTTTGTAGGACATATGAGTGCTGAGACAAGGAAGCGCTAAAAATATTTTATATGCATTATACAAATGCTCCAGCCAAATGCTGTTGATGGTTCAGCTGTAACACGAGGTAAGAGTTGTATGCAATCTATCGTGTGCAGGTGTGTGTTAGTGTCCTGATTCAGAAAATCAACTAGCAAATATGCTCCTGGGATTTTTTTACCTCGCTTGGCTTGACTTTACCATTTCCAACCATATAAAGATGATTCTGAAAGGAGATGATGGTATCATGACAGACTTACAGCAACTCATGTGTATGGGAAACACATGCAAAGAATAATTGAGATGCTCCGCGTATAGTTACGGAAAGAAAAGTTGCAGCTATGAAGCCGCAACAGTCGTGTGATGTGTTTTTGACAGTGCCTTTTCATTTTCTATAGCTCCCATCAGAACTGTTTTTTTCCAGTATTTAACTGAACACTAAACACATGTATTTTAAAGTGCTGAAGCAGGAACTCTTAACTTTACTGTTCTGTGCATCAAAATATCTTTGGAGTTGGACTGAAAATTTCTCAGTTTCAGGTAACTACAAATTCTGCTTGAAATCCTCTGATCTGGTTCCCAGACCTCAGGGCGTGGTTCTAGGTCAGACTGAACATTGTTGGAGTATCACTCCTGCTCGTAAGGTCAGACAGCATGACCGATGGAAACCTTATGAACATATCTCATAGGACATGGGATGAAGACCTTTTACCACTAAAGATGTCAGACTTTGCTAGTAACTCAATTTCTTCTTGCTGTGGTGGCAATTCTTACTGACAGAAACTCTGCAAGATTCTGGCACAATTTGAGTCCTACTGTCAGTTCACAGCTCTTGATCTGAAAATCTGAAAGGCAGCATTAATCTAATTGAAGCTGACCACTGTCTCCTACAAATTTTTTCCCAAATGCGCTGCTGAACAACATATCCTTACACACCTCATTAATTGCCTAGCATTCACCTTACATCCTTTTTCTGGCAGTTATTTTTCTACCTGACTGGACCTGAAGTTATCATCAGCTAGACATTAATTGCAATTTTGGCATGTGCCAGTGTTAACTGAACGTGAACTCATCAGAGAATACAGCTGGAACAAACTACTTCTTTCTCAGAGACAATACAGGAGTAGGTACCAACAGTCATTGCTGCTCTGTTCTGCAGCAGCAGTCAAAACTGCTTTGCTTTAGAGGTAGACGACATCACTGCTAAAGATGACCCTAATGTGCTCTGGGCACATCACAAAGCACAACTGCCACGAAATCTGAGTAAAGGAGGGTAGGCTGTCCTAATAATTTAAGTCAAATGATCTGAGGTGAAAACAAAGTGTATGTGCATACACAGAAAGGTGGCAGGCTGGAATGAAAAATACCTCTATTACTTCAGGGAAGGTCGAGTTGACAAGCTTTGTATTCTGCAGGGTGCGCGTTCGTAACAATTTGAGAACCATACCTTGTTTTGTTTAAGAGCTCCTTTCTCCTTCATGTGAGGGCAGTCCTTCCCAGTCACAACAGCTTTTATATCTGCCACTGGCACTGCATTAAAAAGAAACAAAAGCAAAAACCAGAAAATGCGTTATAACCAAGGTGTGTAAAAGCTACAGAGTCTATAAAGCAGCAAGACTAATGTGCTAAAATTGCCACATCCTTTGCTATTTCCAGCCTGTTGTAAGAAAGAAAACTGGAAGAAAACAACTAAAATAGGAATGAGTGAGTCTTGACAAAATTGCAGGCATCTGAATAAAAATCTGAGTATGATTTTCTTGCCTGTTGAGATTACTTTGGGTACGAGTGCTTCATATGGATGTCTACCTGTGTCTGGACAGTTTTCCTGTGTACTTGAGTATCTAGAATTTTCTGCCTTACTAATGTAATATGCCTGCCCTGTTGTTGCTCTGACCTAGGCATCCAGCTAAAGTCTCTGCTGGAGAGAGGATGCTGAGCGAGTTGGACCTTGACCTCACTCAATGCTGTTGTCCTTATGTTAATGCCTGTATGAATTTTTCAAACAGTTTTTTATTTCACTCCCATCAGCAGCTTAGTCGCTTTCTGGTATTAACAGGAACAAGGACTAGTAAGGCTTATGATGACCCATTCCAATTGCTTTAAAATGTGAAATGATCAGAGATCATTTGGGGGAGGGGGGAGGGGAAAGGTAAGAAAAAACTATTGGAAGTTTCTGCCACTCAGACTCACTCACAGAGTGAGGTCACTAAAACACAAAGATAAATTCCTCTGAGTTTCAAGTGGAAGTCAGTTTTCCCACGGTAATTACATGACGGAGAATCTATATGCTCCACAATACAATATGGTCAGTGAGTGGCAGTTTCTACAATCTATAAATTATTCACTATCCTTGCGGCTGCGAAAAAACATCACATATATAGAACAGCAAAATAATATGGAAGTCTGTTACTGCCCAGTTCTTTAGAAACTCTAATGGGAATAGCGGAGAGGAGAAACGCATCTTCTTTTCTACTGGGTACAGCAACACTATGTAGTTTATTACAGATTACCTCAGCACTATGCTCAAATGGATAGCATGGGATGTAACAGACATTTTTAAAGGACTTTCTCTGCATGGAAGACTAAAAGAAATGGAAGTTCTTTGGCCCTTCACTACTCAACCTCTTCCGCCTTTAGTCTCAGCATTTCATGCTGTGGCCACGCTGGCTTTTGATGTCTCCAACACTAATCTACTTTTTGGTCAAGAAGAGATATCATTTTTGAGAGGAGAGTGCAAGCTAGGACAAACTGGGAAGTAAAGGTGATATTTGACTGCAAGTATGGTAGAAAGGTCTTCTTAAGAAGAAAGAGATCCTGCCATTTGCTGAAGATGCCCAGAAAAACAATTTCTCTGTTTGCATAAGGTAGGGTTTTCTCAAGTTGTATCTCTCAATCAACAAGGCTTGTCTCCAGCTTTCATACGCTTGATCTCTGTGATCTGGAACGCAGTTACTATGGGAGATCACAGACTGATGTGACATCCTGATCTTTATTTATCTGGAACTTGGCCTATTCCTTGCTTTGGAAAAATAGAATCAAAGGCTTCAAATGGTATCAGAAGCTGACTACAAGATGCTGGAGGGTGCGAGCACAGATGTGATGTGCTCACAACAGATAAAGCCCTGAGAAAGAGGGCAGCTGCTTTCTGTCCCAGCTGGAGCCTGCACAGCTTGTTGACTCTGCCAGCCTGCAGCAAGGGGTGACATTCACAGAAGTGAAAAGGTTAAAAACCCCAATATTTTTTTTTTTTTTTTGAGAGAGACACTAGCTATTCAAGCTTGGCAAGGAGTACACAAAATGCCCTACGCTGCTTCTCTAGGTCCTCCATTTTCTTACCCACCTGTTCTCTTTCATCTGTTGACCTGCTCCCAAATGCTGACAATCTGGTCATCATATTCAGACCTTAAAAGCTCAAAATTCAATATAAGTCTATCCAAAGAACAACAGCATATTTCTGGAAAAATGTTCTGTAAAATTCCCAAACCAGTTTGGCCTGACACATTTCAAAAACGGTGCCGCTTTATAATCTTGTATCTTGCAATATTCTCAACTCTGTTTAATTAAACTCTAATGTGGGTGGCACTGTGGTAAATCTTATATCCTTCATAGCCTGAAAACCGAAGATATTAATGAAATAACCGTATCTTTCTCAAACTGCACCAGTATCTGCTCTGCCAGAGCACAGAGAACATGTGGGTCTCGCCCAGTGGTTTCTAAAGTAGGAGCCTTCTGTCCCCATGGGATCCTGAGACTCTCGAGTAGGTGCAAGAGCCTACGGGAAATGCAAATACAAGATGAAGCCTGCAGTCAGGGTCAGGGGTCTGAGCAAGGAAGCGTGCTCAGAGCAAACAAATCTGGGAACTGCTGGTCTCATAACTGTGCCTGCACTTCAAGCATGACCTTCATTCTTCTTCTGTCATTCTGACGGTACTGTAACATTCAAGGGTTATTTCTCTAAGCCTCTTCCAGAAAAACAGCCTCTTCCAGTGCCAACGCAGCGATGTGAGCCCCTGTCCTACTCTCTGCCAAGACTGCAGTAAGAGCGTGAAACATCCTTGAGACAATCGGTAAGGCGATGAAAACGAGGGAACGTGACTGCAAACTGCCAGGGCTCCAGCATCAGAGTCAGACAAGCTCTTCCTCTTTCCCGCCCGGACTGCTTCTGGGAGCTCTCTGAAGTTTTAAAAGCTGCTGCCTGGAGACAGGCTGCGGGAGCAGAAAAGAGAAACATTTCTTTGTTTTACTAATACACAGGAAAGTCTAAATCACTGATTTTCTCCTTTCTCAATTTTCAGGCTGGAAAAATTTCCAGCTTCTAAAAAATTATGTCTTTCTGCCATTCTGTGAAAGAAGTGGAGCTACCAACTGAACTACTTGCACAAGCATGTCTAATTTGATAATGCCAAGTATGGCATTGATTACTAACGGACGTTCGGAAAAGAACAAAAAGAAATGATTCCTTATTGAAGTAAATTTCTGGTGACAGAACTACACTGGTCATTATTTCCGTGACCATAAAAAACTTCCCCAGGATGGCAGGTTAAACCTCCACAACTCATGTTGAGGGACAAAGGACACATTACCAGGAGAGTATGGTTTTTCTGAAGGGCTCAAAAATTACTTTTATCCATAAAAAAAAACCAACAGTAAATCTCCTGGTAGGAGTCGTCACAGAGGCATGTCCTCTCCCAGCTGGGTACACAGTAATGGTGAGGTCCTCTCAATACTGTTCACAGCAATGTGTCGTCTTTAAATCCACTCCCCACAATAATAAAAAACCCCTCCCCCTGCCACAGATTTCTCCTCCAGTCACTAGACTGTTTGCCACAGAAGAAACATCTGTCTCTGTGGACAGGAACCGCTTCTGAATATGCCGAAGTATTTTTATTTGACATCTGCAGTTAGATGAACAATGAAAATAAACTGTGTTCTTCTCCATGAAAGGCATGACATTTCTAAGCTGAATTAAGTTATAAACTCATTGGAATGCTGAGCTCAGCCCTCATACACGCTTGACAAATGCAGGAGGGTAGTGCCTGAATTCAGGAGGAAGTGTCCTCTGCTTTCTGTCTCCATAAACGGAGCTGATGGTAATGCCCTGTGTTAAGAGAAACCTACTACAACTTATAAAGAGAAACTAGCATGAAAGAAGCAAAGTAGCACAATCTTTGTGCATGACTTACATTTATCTTGCAAGGAATCATGGGGGACTTCTCCCTGGGGACTTTCTTCCAAGTCTCCGTAGTGCAAGACCTTGTGATTAGGTGAAAGTCGACAATACCAAAATTTGTCTGTCAAAATAAAGGCATTAAACCAGGTCACTAACGTATCTTCATCAGCATTACCTATAGCACAGGAGGAAAGCTTACTCAAATGACGCACTCCAGGAAAGGACTTTTTTCTTTCAGATGGAGGAGTGTGTGGGGTGTATGGAAAGTAGGGCAGTGAGTTCTCTCAGTAATTTTACTTGATTAAATGAAGCTGGTGTTCATCTACCATTTTTTTATTGATTTAGTCACTGGCTCCAAAAATGAATATTAGCAAGAAACAACTGACTTAGTTCTACACTATATTATATACCCTCATAGACAGAAGCCTGGCAAGGTAACCACTGCCTTGAGTGGGTAACTTTAACGTACCCATAAAAGCTTCATTTTTCGCACCCACTGTGTGAAAATTAAGCCCTGCCAGCTGTCTTGTGTGGGACACCCAAAAACTGATATATTTGAAATATCCCATACCTTATGAAAATTATGACTCATGTCTTTTTATAGACCTGGGAGAACACCCCCATATTTATGGAGGGACTGGACATAACAAATACGCAAAGATTAAAAAGCAGACGTTAACTCCCTTGTCCTGCAGATAACCCAGTGCTTTGCATGGTCAAAAATATACGTGTGACCATGCAGTCACACTCCAGTTTGCATTTTAGCCCTTCCTAGGAGATGTATATTTACATGTCCTGCCAACGCCTGCTTCGCAGGATATAATTCCCTTTAACAGCATTTGTTAAAATCTGCTCCCATGAAGAACATCAGCTTTGCAGAGTCGGGCCACCACGCTGCCTAGCGAGAGGGTTCTGCTTCCCAGTTCCCTTTCTGAAATGGCAAAGACAATGTTACCCTTCCTTGTCAGAGCACTTTCTATTTAATAAATAGATCACATAATGTTAAGCTGTCAAAAACACAATCTTGTTACATCCAAGCTCTAAATCTCCAAAAGCTCAGAGCAAAGCTAGATGTTAAAACGCCAGTGGAGAGGGCAGAGGGCTTCTCTCGTTGCTGGCAGCATCGACGCTGTGCCAAGCAGCAGCCTAAGGGACAGTTTAGGGGAAACGTCAGCCTTGCCACATCCTTGCGGTGCTGCCATCGCTGGGAGCGAACAGAGCCACGGTTTGGATAAAACATCAGAGGAGCTGTAGAACCACCAGAGCCAACATATGTGAGCTCATTTGGGGTGTTAGCAAAGGAAGGACTTCTTGGCTCTGTTACTAAACTATTGGCTTCATGGACCCAACTTCTTTCTACAGGATGCTCTCCTGTCTCTCGGCCAGCCATTTAAAACACAATGCAATGAAACACAGAGAAAGGCAATTCAGCTTTGAGTGGCGAAAGTGGGCTTCCACATGACCTTTCAAATTCCTTTGTCATGGTGGGTTAAAATGCTTGGGGGAAAAAACCCACACACTTCAAACCTTTTTCTGAGCATGCAGCCCCTTCTACAGAAAGGTTTCAAAAGACCTTACAAACCTCTGTCAAGGGCTCAAAAACTGCAGTGGACAAGATTCTGGTTATCTACTTCACAGGCATGCACAATATTGAAAGATCCACGGTAGAGAGCCTGAGATTATGATTTTGTTATGCACACAAGAAGAGCTGCTGAAATATAAGCATCCCTTGACTGTAAGCACTGCATTCAACATTGCACAGTCCGGGGTCAAGAGGAAAATCCCACTTGCAAAGCTTTAGTAGGGATTTGAAAGCAGAGCAAGCAGGACCCCTCATCCAGTAGACTCTCATCTGGAAAGCACACACACAACTCGTCAGACAGTTTGTGTGTCTCGGGATGTGTGCGAAACTTACCTAGATTCGTAGCTTTTACAGGGAACTCTACCAGAACCATACCAAAACCTGATGCTTAAATCATACACTCCATTGAATCTGATGGTGGACCATCATGCCCCTTGCCTACCTGAAGAAAGCCTCTAGTAACTGTAGCATAGTTTTCATGTCTAGCTGTAAATGCAACCTCATTGTTCATTCGGCTGTACAAAGGAATGTGCCTTTCCAACTCTACGATTAAAACAATAATATTTTCCTAATAAAAGCCAACATGGTTTCCAACCTTAATGATTCCAGTCTCACTACCTTCTCAATGGTCTCAATGAATGAAGTTTGGCTCCTTAACCTCCTAGGGGTTATACTGTTTTCGTAACCTTGATCCTGTTTCAACGCCCTGTTCCAATAAAAGAGTGCAAAACCCCTCAGTGACAACTCTTACTTCATTTTTAGGAAGGGGTGGTTTTATGGGAAGAAACCCTAGCTCTGAAGGCTTGTGGAGCCTTTTACAGCCATTCCCCATAATCCAAGGTTAATTAAAGAACTAACAGCCACTGAAGCATGCCCGCTGCGATTCTCCTGTGGGCTCACTAGTAACTGCCATCGTGCCACAGCTTTGCAGTCAAGGGGAAAACCCTTAAATGAAAAGTACAAATGGAGCTAACGAGGTTCCCTCAGCTGCAGCCGCTAAACAACCGCACCAGACAGGCTGAGGAGGGTGATCAACATGTTAGTGATGGGAGGTAACCCTTGCTTCTACAACCACCTCAGTCTTACCAGGTGGGGTGGTTTTTTCAGCTGTACATGACATTACAAGCAGTTTATCAGAAAACGTCCCACTTAGGCAAGATCTCAGTGCCTTGCAGGGCAACAGTTTTAAACAGGACACATGTTATTTCACTGTACTGCAGGTGCTGAACACAAGTTTATTAAAAAGTGGTGTATAAAATAATGCTGAAATCAAAATAAGAATTGTATAAAATTGCTTCCACTGACAAAAGGATGAAGAAACCTTAATCACAAAACAGCATGTGGGAAGTGGTCAGAGTTTACTCTCAGCTCTAAATTGATAAAAAAAATAAGCAAAGGAAAAAGCTCTTTTCTACCATGATTAGAAAGTAGGGTTTATAAAACAACGAAGAACTACTGTACACACCCTCCAGAGCTCTTAAAACCCAACTCTGCAGGGCTGAAGTGCCATAAGAGGCTTTAAAGAAGGGACAGGCATTTCTCAATAGGCCCTGTACTCCGCAGCTGGCAGACCTGTGTGTATGCGCACAGCTGGAGCGGGCAACGGCCGCTTCAGCAAGGAGTGGAGTTTATTCTGGTTTTAGGGCCAGTCTTATGAATTTGCCCCAAAGCCGAAGTCCCTTCTAGGAGCTACAACTCTTATTTTGTATCTGGTGTTACTACACCTGCCTTTGTGAAACTCCTCCTCAGAGCACGCAACCGTAGGGAGGGCAGTCCCTAGCCACAAAGTCTTTAGAGATGATGTGGGCTTGTGATTTCATCGCAGTTTTCAGACACTACATCATTTACGCTTTCTGGCGAGTCCTTATGTTTTTTAGCTCACTGACCATTGATGCAATCAAATGAAGGTGCTAGAGATTCTTCTTTGGGAAACCAAATTAATCATTCCTTTTTTTCACCTGAAAAAGTTTCAAACAAATGGTACTGATTTTCAGACAATTGCTAGAGCAGCCAGAGCGTTAAATATATCGCAGCCCATCATTAAAGCTTATAAATGAGGTTAAAAAAAAATCCCAAATGACAAAATCAGCTACAATTTGGCTAGAAGAGTAATATTCAAAACTGTGACCAAATAGTTGGGCACAGAACATTTTGCTGATGGGCTACAGAGTGCTTGGCCATTCACATAGTGTGTTTCCAAGTGCATTAATGGCCAATGACTCATATGCCCTTAACAATGCTATCCTAGGTAAAGGAGTGCTGTGGTTAGTACAGAAGTGCTCTATAGTTAGAATCTGGGAAGAAAATAGCCCAGATATTCATGGACAAAAGTCTGAAAGTATATATTTTATCCCAAGTTACGCTCCAGATTAGTAAAGAAGTTTTTTGTTCAAAGATCTTCCTCATGGATCTACCAACAGAAACATACTTCTAAATGCATCAGTAAAAACACACATACTTGTGTAGATTTTAAATATATGTACACAAACTCACCTTTTTTCTTTCATTGTGTTGTGTTTCTCTAAGCTGCTACCGTAGTGACAGACTTTCACTCTAATTGGTCTCAACTGCTTAGATGAAAGCCAGCAAACCCCGCAAAATGACTGGTGATTAGTTGACCCGTGGCACTGCTGGAGGAATCTTTGGTTAACTGGTTGCTCCGAGCAAGTCACTCGCTCACAGAATATTATTTTTTATGGGACTACGGAGGGTGGCATGGAGTAGCAGCACTAAAGATGGCTCAGCAGAAAAAGGCAAAGAGTGTGTTCTTGTTCAGAAGTGTCAGCTACTTATCCTAGCAAGAGATGGAAAACCTGTCTTCACTTGACTTTTTATTCTAATGTAAGCTTTCCCCTTCCAGGTTACTTCCATGGTGCCTTGTGTTTTTAATTTAACGGCGTGTATCACCAGGTTTCCTTTCCCTTCCCAAAATGACTGCTCAAGAAACCTCACCTTTGGCTGCAAAACCACTTCAATAACACGCAATTTCTCTATAATCTTTATAAAGCTAAAAAGGGAATTTATTTCCAAGAGTGCACCCAGCAACATAAACTACAAATGTACTGGATGACAGCATCAGAAGTATCTATTATCCTCAATAAAATGCCTTTATCTGCTACTTAGCTCTACTGGAAATAATAACTTCTGGGGTTGTAAAGTGCGTTGCAGGCTTTCACTTTAGTCTTCTCCCCTTTCCTTTAGGAATTAACTAAGAAAGGAGAAAGCTGAAGAGATCTATCTATCAGCTGATGTCCACGGTCAATGAACAAAGCGGGGATTTGCAGAGCTTCATGATCTGCTGTTGAACAATGACTAGAAGGGCAGGCTAGATTTTGCTGTTTCATTTCCAACCGATTAAGAATGCTTAATAAAAACGGGAGTTAGTGCTGCAGTTCTCCTGCGAAACCTTGCAAGGGAAAGGCCATGTATTCTTTGAAAGTGCTAAGGATCCCGCTGGGACAACAATGGTATTTCTGAATTTCGGCTACAGAGATCCTGCTGGTAGGATAATCCTGTGCAGAAATACAAAAGGCAGATATCTGATTACAGATACCCCTCACAGCTTAATCTTCAGCACCCCCCCAAATGAATCACCTGTTGGATTGGAGGCTTTCCAATGCCAAGTATATATGAAAGCGTTTCACCTCTTCTCAAAAGGCTGTAAGAGGCTGTAAACTCCCTGCTCCTTTTTTTGTAAGTCAGTTTTTCCAATTTACTGTGACTAATCATGTGTGTCCTACCACACATTCAAACAACAGACTTAAAAGAAGTTTGCTCTGGAGTCTTTATCATGGCATAATGCCTGTTAATTATTTTTCAAATGGGCAAATCAATGGTTTCAGCTTCGCCTGTTTAGAGCGTGTTCAGGTTGTTCTTGTACAATCTCTAGATTTGTGACATTCATTCCAGGATTGTCTCAAGGGAAAAAAGAATCATAGGAAAGGTAAAAGAAACAGTATGCATACTAAAGCAAAACACCTACCTGATCTTACTACTGTTACAAGTAAGGTTGCCACGTAACAGGCAAACTGTGATGCCTCAGAGTACTCCCCATTTCTGTTCCAGCTCCACATCAACTTGGATGGACCACAGCCCTTGGAGGGCCTTGGTAATGCTCCATGGCAAGTGAATTCATGTGGAGCAGCGGGAAGGTGACGGGGCTCCTGAACCCCTGGGCAGCACAGGTCACATGTACACAGAGGTGGGTTGGGGGAGAGGAGATGGGGAGGTGGGGTAAGGCTAACAGAAGAAATACTCGGGAATTTGGGACTTGTACTATTTTTATCAGGACATTCAGAGGAATTGTCTGAAAGCTTGACTGTCTCGATGTTCCGTATCACTAGCTAAACCTCTGGTCCTCCATTCACTTCATCCCGTAGTTCCTGACATCATGACAGCCCTGGTCTTACAGCTTACTCTGCTTGGGGTACAGGACACCCAACGGACAAAGGTTGATTTCAAGAGAACTTCTGCTTTGTGCCAGCTGCCACTATTTGCTATTTAGACTGTGCCAGGCATTGTACGCATCTAAAAAAGGACGCCAGTTGAATAGCTTATACACCAAACAAGCTTGTGTTTACAAATCATACTCTGCTTCATTAGAATGCACGGCGTTAGATCTTACTCAGTTTAGTCCTGGCAGCCTCATGCATCATCATCTTCTGTAATGGCTGTGTCTTCTCCTTCCCTCCCAGGGGGATGACTTACACCTCTCTTTCAGGGAATACAGGGAGTCTAACATAAAGCACACACAACTCTTAAGGGCATCTGGAAACATGTCCTTCTAAACTGGCTTGTATCTGATAAAACCCAACATCTTTCAGAGAAGATAGTTCTTTTGAGGCATGGTTACGTGTTTCACTCATGAACTTTTTTTGGCCCTGTATAAATATAACATCAAAACAATTAATCTGGTGGCCTGTGCAACTCACTCTGAGGGACACATAGCAACCTTCTCAACTGTGGACCAGAAGATTACACTCATCTTTTTTTTTTTTAAATAGGTTTTTTACATTCAGTTCAAGTCATATAAGTTGAACCAATTCATACCCCCTAAAGCTTTTGATACTATAAATTATGAATTAACAACAGTTTAAGACAAAATAAACAGTCTATCTTCCTCTTGGAAATCTGCCAAAAGTAGGTTTGCCACAAAAACCCTGCTCCTTCCCTAGAATTTCAGTCATTTGGATTAAGTCTCTGAGAAGAATAGAATAAACAACCCTCACTGCTGATAGCCAAACCAAATTATGCATTACTTTAGCTACTTTCACTCCGTGAACATGCTGCTGAAAGGAAAACATGTATTGTGCTTCCCTATTAAATCTGTATAGAATGTCACAGTGGAATATTAACGCTCTTTC